AAAAACGACCAGGCTTCATGCACAGTTGATAACCATGCATGCTGAAGAATTACGCAACCCCACAATGCAACACTTTCGTCTCAGCCATCGCTCTCCTCCCCTGCGTGCAGGAAAAGGCTAAAACATAGCCAGTGTATGCCCACGTGTTAAACCGGAGCGCAAGAGCCATTCCTGCTGCTAATGATCTGCAAGTTTAGCGCAAAAACGCGCGATCGTACTACCTTGCGCACTGCAGCCTAGATTTGCAGTAGCAATATGTGCTGTACGTTCGCAGAACTTTCGTCGGCATGTTGAGGCGCTGGTCTCATTTGCATCGGACTGTGGCAAGCGCTTCGCTCTGAACGTATCATAAAACACGAATTTATTGCAGTGCAGTGCTGCAGTGCGTAAAGAATTCGTAAAAGTGGTTTTAAAGTTCTTTAGTTTAAAGAAATTCATCTCTTCAAACAGTATACGTTATGTGGCATGGCCTTTTGGCATAAACGAGTTCGAGTCGCTAGGATATAGCCTTTTTTAACATAATATCGAAGGAACTGTTCTTTCTAGCAATGACACAATGAAAATTCGATTTTATGCGCAGCGTGAATCAGATCTGCATTGCATTGGTCCAGGAAACGGTACTCTGAAAATTTTGGCTCATAATTCGACGATCGCAGTGAAAGTCTTTTACCAATACGAAGCACTGCCGGGTTTGCAAATCAGGACCATTGAATGTATGTTTTTCCGCAGCATCCTTTAAGTAGAAGCGTTCAGCTGGTAAATTATGAATTACAGCCTTCTTTTTTCGTATAGTTTTGTACTAACTTAGCAACTTTTACCGCGAAGTTTTCTTGCAAAACTTTCAGTCCAGATTAACAGAAATAGAATTAAGTCTAGTGCCCACAGCGCAAACCTTTAATTAAAGAGAAGTTTGCATTCACAGCTAGGCTCTGACACTTTTCAGCAAATACCTCAGAAATTCTCAAAACAAAAAAATTTCATATCCCCTGTGCTGCAGAAAAACGCAAGCTCATCCCATCGCTGTAAAACCCAGAAATTTGGTTAACTGCCGTAGCTGATTCTGCTTCTCCTGCTGTTGTTTGTCTCATCACTGACGTTAGCTACTATTAAATTATGCAAAAACTGTATTTTACAGTAAGCAATTCAGTCTTGTGCCTTAAATTTTAACACTGATCAAATCCAGAAGTTTGAAATTGCGTAAGTCAGCTCATCCCAAACACAGAAAACGATAACAAGCTGGCTTTTTTGCGGTAGCGAAGCAACATGAGTGGGCAAATTTTAGGGCACAATCAAGTACTGTACGTTGATAATCAGCGTCTTTTGCTCTACTGGTGTTTCAAACGAGCGAAAAATGGTTCCTGCGTGCAGCACGACGCCGATATTCTTGTGCGATCGCGACATCTCGCTTACCACGATATGGCTTTGCTGAAGCCCTACCTAAAGATGGCCTGTGCAGAGCAACAACATCTCCGATGGTTCGACCTTCACTGTACGAGACCGTGCATTTACTCAGTCTTCTGATACTCTTACATAGCAAGTAGAAACTGAAAAGACACAGAAATATCGAAAATTTGGAACCAAAATTTCGAATTTTAGCACTTTTCGATTTGTGATTCCACTTGTAGTTAGATCAACAATCGCGAATTTGGTTTCAAGGGTAATTTCAAATCATTCGCCATATCTAACGTGAAAGAATAACCATCAAATTACAATTTATTAGCTTGTTTTGTTTCAATTCTATATAATTTCTTGATTATATGTCTCATTTCACTGGTCAGGAGACGAGATGTGAAATCTCATTTCAGGCTACCTTTTGCCGAGTAATATGGCAAAATGATCCAATGAAATTTTTTGTCCCAGTGGTAGGTTACAGTTAATCCAAGATTTCCGACCTTGTGCATAGTTCAAAAATCTTCAATTTTCTACTCATCGTGAGTCCGGAGATAAAATTTATGGAGAGACATAGGCAAAAATTCGCGGATGGAGACATCAGTCCGCTGTGAAACGCTTTCATGTGAAATTTTGTAAGCGAAAGCGCTTAAATGAATGAATAACGTTGTAAGAGCAACTTAATAGGATTAAATTCCAGTTACTTTTTAAAAACAAAAGCGAGCGAACATATTTCAGCAGAAAAACTACTCTCCAACTTTATGCGAGCGCTAATTCGGTGGAAGAAAATCCCCTTTAGAGAGGAAAATCCGTCGCTTTTTTTAAAGCCATCCAGAACGCACGGAACGTCTCGGAATTAGCCAAACCTTCGGTAAGGTAAAGGGCTTTTAGTCGGTTAGATTCGTGGGTGAAATTAAACAGCGTGCGAAAATTTTGCTGAAATCTGTTCTCGCACGGTACTGAGTTTGAGACGACTTCAGAATTCAGTTAGTATTTTCTGTGGTAGCGACTTTTTTAGACACATAATCACCATTTCTAAAATTTCTTATAAATTTTTTACCGATTTTGTTTCACACGGATCAGGCTTCAGCTCACTGTGGTTTTGAAATGAGTCAAACAAGCAGACTGCGAAGAACGATGATGACTCTAAGTCATCGTGAAGTGCTGAATATCCTTACTAATGTCCAGGAGCCGAGATGCAATATAACACAGATCACCGGACTGAAAGCGAACTTAACGGCGGTATTTTTTCACACTGCAAAATTTGTTTACGCTTCGAAACAGTTCAAGTTCACACGGGAATGCTGCACTGTCTCGAAGGGCTGTTGA